TTGTCGGGGCAAGTGCCGCAGTCTCGGCTCAGTTTCCCTCCAAGGAGGCTGCCACATCCGAAGGATGCCCCTCGGCTGCAAGACGGCTAATTGGGCTGCGGCGAGCAGTTGAGATACAGTTTAAGATGCAGACTGCAGAAGGAGATACTACATTTAGTTTAAGATCCACTTGGTCCTGTGATGAGGGGTAAAAGATAACTCTTTTCAGAACAACCTAAAATACTGTTTGGCTTGAGAGCAGGGAAATGTAATATTTCGATTGAAGTAACAGATACTTTTTGAAGAGTACTAGAGTACTAGAGAAAATTTAATAGGTAATATTCTATATAAATACACGGCTTTTAAAAATGAAGTATACTGTAGCAAAGTAGTATAAATTCTACCCCTTTGGTTCAGTGAAAAATACATTTTAACTACAAGTTTTAAAGCTATTTGCAGCTTTTGTTTAGTGCTAAATACCATTTCGGTGTAAAACAATTTATGATTGGAGATTTTAAATAGAAAATGTATTTATAAAATATATGTGTGTTAATCCTGCATCTATATATTTTGACTTGCATAAAAGTCATAGTTATAACATTGTATGACAATACAATAAAATGTTGTACAAATATATATAATCAACATATATCCTCCGGCTATAATTTTCAGACAAAAAACACTGATCAGTGACTCAAATTGCAATGGAAATTGTTAAAGTTTCCCAACTAAATAAAAACTTAAACTGATTATCCAGCTAAGCTGATTATAATAAATCATGACTATCCCATCGCTTGGCAAGCATTTAAAAACATTTGAATATTTGAAAGGAGCCCCTTTCAAAGCGGAATATTCGAGGAGATTAAGCCGACAGATATGTGAGGCCCATTTAGGTCGAAGATGCCCTTTCCCAGCGATCCCTAACTATCCTTTCACTATCCATCAACCGTCAGCGTCAACCGCAAGGCAGCGGCAATCCATCACCGGATCGAAACTTGTCATGCTCCAATATGGAATGCTTTTCAATGGCACCTTTTAAGCAGTCGCTTGTTTTGTTGGTTGGTTGGATGGTTGGCTACTTCGGTTCCAAGGGAAATTCAATTAGAAGACAAAGAGGCCCCGAAAACCGATGCGTTGCGATACGATCCGCTTGGCATTCTAACTAAATAGCATTCACCTGTCCGGCGAAATAACTTCACACACAAAAGGAGAAGATACAGAGATACGAAGATACCCTAACCACGAGCAGCTGTCAATATGTGTTGGCGCCAAACGGGAATTCTTTTCGTGGTGGAGTCGTAGTCAAAGTCGAAGTCGAAGACGGAGTCAAAGATCCATGGCCATCCATTAAATGCCTACCGTCAAATCATAATTCATTTTTCCCCTGTCTGGGCCCCGATATTCCTCAGCTATTAGGCACCGGCCACTCCTAGACACGCAGCCTCGGGGCACAGACCATAAAGCCATTTCCAGGTGAGAGGAGAGGAGAGGAGAGTGGGGGGAGGGGCAGGGGCAGGTGAGCCGGACAGGTATATAGGTACAGGTTACAGGTTCCTCTATTCCTATTCTTCTATACCTTCCTCGATGCTGCGGCAATCTGGGCTTGGGAATTTGCACCTTGCACTGCGGATCCTCACTTATTCGGTTGCATAGCCCGCGGCGCTGGGAAAAAGTCCCGGGTTCATTGATACTCTGTTGCAGCTCAGGTGCTCAATCAAATGCAATTAACCGAGCGACTACGACGACGATGGCCAAGGAGGGAAAAGGCGGGGAAACACTGGTTGTAGCCGGCAGAACGGAAGTTCGGCTCTTTGGCTGGATGTTGTTGCTATTGAAATGTCAGCCTGGGTTAGTCACTGCATCTCAAATCATTTGCATGGGCCGGGCAGCAACATAAAAATGGCACTGAGAAAAATACTACCCCCTAATAAGCAGGGAAGATGTTTTGGCAATTTACAGATGTGAAATAATTAAGAATGTTATTGCCTCTAAAAATTCTAATTTGCAATAAATTACTTAAGAAAAAAATATACTCACATTTAAGGCATATAGTAAAATATCCCAAATAGTTTAGTAATTGTTTTTTAGAACCCTAATAAATCACTGATCGGATTTTATCTGCTATTTAAAGGAAATAAGCAATAATAAAACCTTTAAGTTCTTAATTATCGTCTCAAGTAAATCAAAAGTAACACTTTAGTTTATTTTTGAGAATAATAGTTAAGCAAAAAGTGCAGAACTTTTGAATGCAATATAAATTATTTGTTCACAGCTTATTTCAAAGTCCAAAACAAATATTTATAAATTTACTATTTTAGCAAACAACAATTCTTAAGATCTTTAGAACTTTTATTGATTTTAAATGTGTATGTTAAGCTATAAAGTTTTTCATTTCTAGACACAGCCAATCATATAGAAACAGATATAGCTAAAACAACATTGTCGTGTTCGCCAAAATCAAAAATAAAAAAAAAGTAAAAATGATATAGAAAAACGAGAGAAAAATAAAAGCTAAACACACAAATGCCAAAACTTTATTAGCCCGTTGACGCAAATTAACGGCGACCGCTTCCATTTCGCATTTCAAAGCGTCAAATCGGTCGTCGCCGCTGATGTGGTGCAGAGTGGTGCACAGTGGTGCAGAGTGGTGCGGAGTGGGGCAGCGGTGGTGCTCCGCACTCAGACCAGTTCGCTGCCAGCAAAATAATTTGTAAATGTCAGAGCATTTTGACAGTTTGCGGTGATGTTTTTCAAATTACAATTTACAACAGCAACGACAACGACAACATCGAGCCAACGAATAGCGCAAAAGTTAAGCCGACAAAAAATAAAATAATCAGGAGATTTGATGTATTTCAGCTTTTTTCGGGTACTTTTTTATTTGTTTTCCTTGGCAAGGATAATATTCGTTTCGAAATGTCGGCTTAATTCCACAAAACATAGAAAGGCTGCAGGACATTTCATGTGCAATTTTAATGGGGGAGCTTATGTGTCCTGCCGGCTTTTAATTAAACAACCTTTTTTCCTCGCCTTCGGGTTATTTATACGCCACATGATTTCATAAACAACCGAAAAAACATTCCAATTTTTTTGTGGGACCTTAAAGCGAAACCAAATCTCGTAGGTTAACTTTTATATCTATTTTATGATTGCACTCCTCCTTCCCCACTTTTGCATGGACATTTCATAGTTATAAGCAAAACGTCGAATTGTTAACGACTCGCTGGGCCATAACTCAGACCATAAATTTGATGTTTGATTTTCATGGCCCGGTCGACAAGTTGAGAAAAACCTAAAGCTCCAGCCGGGCGTGGCTTTAACGGCTCCTCAGCAGCGGAGCAGATGGCTAATCTGTTAATGCGAGAAGAGCTCTGGCCAGTGAAAGGTAAGCCACACTTTCACCCGATCAAAAATGAGTCGCTAGTTGACGGGCTTTTAATTTAATTAGCCACCTAGCCAGCATGTGACCCAAACTAATCAAACTTGCTTTCGGGGTGTGGTCACTTTGAAATGGAGAACAAAAGTAAAGGTATATATAAACTAGACTTGGCTGGGGGAAATTAACTTCCAGGTGGATTATGGGCAAAACCCGGAGAAGGGTTGGCAAATGGCAAACAAATGCGATAATAGTTGGCAAACTCAATGGCTAGACAGCCAGCAAAAACCAACAGCACAACAACAATGAAATTGAAGAAAATTACACTAAATTGGCTTCAATTATTGTATTAATTTGGGTTCCGTGTTGCTTTCCGGCTTATCCCTTTTGGCCCGTTTTTCCTGGCCGTCTTGTTTGTCTTTTTGTCTCTTTTTCTTTTTTTGGTCTCTATGGTCGCCGGTGTGGCCCTGATCTGCAAGCAAACATTTCGTTTTTCTAACTTGACGCTGGCATCTTGATGAGCCACTTCTTCTGGCCCGACTTAGTTGAGTTATTCCACAGCGAAATTATATTAGACAGTCCGCAAAAGGTTGCCATTGTCGTTGTCCATTGACGTTGCAATGTGGCTGCTGCTGTTGCACAGTGGAAAAATTGCACCAAAAGTGGACATCAATTGGGTTATGAGTTCCTATTTAAACGTCTCCTCTAAGTGGAAATTCAAACTAGAATAGTTGTGCTTGGTAAATTTTAGTTTTGTCCAACCATTCTCTAATTTTTCCATTCTTGTTTATTTTTTTTTTGACATTAAAATGTTTTAGAAATATTTTTAAAAATTCCCCATTCTAAAATTGTTTGAGTTAGAGTACGTTTTAATGTTACTCAGTTTAAAAACGTTGAAAACAGGATACTATTTTGGATATGAAAACAATTTTTAACAGAGAAGTATTTAAAAAATAAAAAAATTTTTACAGTATGTAGAACCACCCATAACAAAATAAATATAATTTTTTCTTTGTGTATTACTGATGTTGCAATTGTTGCTGTCGTGCAGGAAGCCTCTTCTTGACTTGGCCAAGAGGAAACTGACGATTATAGTTCGTAAGCCCGTAGATGCGAGTATGTGACTGGCTGGGGCCAAGTGTTTTTTAGAAAAAAATAAACAGCCGGAAGAACTTCATTGCTTGACATCTGCTAGGAGTGTGTTTTTCTTACTCCTCCCTTTTTTTATTTTTTACAGGTAAAGTGTGATTCTGGTTGGAAAGAAAATGTATTTTAAGTACGTTTTTAAACGGCTAATTTACCATGCAAATATTTCATGTAATTTCCTGAACTATTTGCATGAAAAGCATATTTTACAATATTTGTAGGTACAAATTCAGTAAAGCATAAAAATACAAATGAAATGAAGAGTTTTTAATCTGTTCAAAAAATATTTGCCTAATTGATTATAGCTACATTCATTATTATGGCAAGAATTTATTTTCTTTTCTTAAAATTCCTCCCATGAATTTTTATTTATTCTTATATTTGCCCACAAACTTTTATCATTTGGTATGCAAAACTCTTTTCCCCACAACCCATAACAAATTCATTTTAATGAAAACTTTTCTCTCGAGCGCTTTTCAATTAAAAATCCACAACTCACCAAGAAATTGAAACTGAGAGGCCACAAAAAACATTGGCAATCATACAGACACTCGGTGGCACAAACACAAGCACACAGGTACACTGGCGGAAAATGTTTGGCTTTTCTCTCTCATTTTTTTCTGGAAATCAAAACGTTTGGTTTTTCTTTTTTTGGCACACAGAAAAAACACACATTTAGCATTGAAAAGTTTTGGTGAAGTGAGCAACTGGGTTAGAGAACGTAGGACACGTGGGCACGAGTTCGTTTCCCAGGAGAATCTTCTGTCGATTCTCCGGAGAATTCCTGGCTAACTGTTTTTTTGGCAACCCGAGCGGCTTCAAAGCCGAATAGCGAATGCGGCAATTGGCAACTGGCGGCTAAAAAAGCCACTCGCACCGCAGCAACATCGCAACGTCGGCGTCGACGGCAACTTTTGGTAGGCAGAAAAAAAAATCGTATAATCGCATATATATATATATAGAGGTTTGCCCTCTCCCTCTGGCCCAATATAGACCTCTCTTTCTTCAAGTTATGTCTGTGTGTTTGCGAATGCAATTTTGCAGCAGCTGCAGTCAACATGTTGCTGGTGTGCTTTTGTGGCTTTGTAGCCCACCACAAGCCCGAGAACCCACCACACTCGTTTGTAGCTGTATCCGAGAGAATTCGTATCTGTGAGTTAGCCAGTATCTGCATCTGTGTGTGGGCTTGCACGTGTTTCGCCAAAGGATTACCACTCAGACCCTAGAACCCAAAACTCAGCTGTTGTTGTTGGTGAAGTGCACCGAAAGAAAAGTTTATCTGATATGGTGATCATTTCTATATTTATCTCAATGTCAAATATATATAAAATTTGTGTTTGATACTTATACCTATTCCATTTTGATGGGAAATAAAAGTTTCATATCAAATTCCAAGAATGTTCCTTTCTTTTCAGACAGCAATACTAGCAAGTTTATATTGATTATTAAATAAGACATTTATATTAAAACAATTTATAAAGAGATATTAAATTAATATTAGAAGTTCGAAAAAAAATAGTGTTCAAATCCCACTGGTGCTATGAACTTGTAAGTTTTTTTTTGCCGTGATTAAATATATATATTATTTTGAAGAAATTTGTGCCAATCTGAATATTTGTTCTAGCTATATGCCAAGCAAATAAAAATATTATAATTTCAATTTTCCCAAGCTCCATTGTTTGAATCCCGACGGCTTTTGATGATTCCGCCAAAATCACATATCATATTATAATACAACTGTAAACATGGAGACCTATTTTTGTTTCAGTGTGATGTTGCCCGTGTTGCTTTTGCTGTTGTGGGCTTGTCGCCTGACTGACATTTCCTTTTGATGCGCCTACGTGCCCGCTTTGGCATATGCATTAGTTGGCCCCCAGGGGGAGGTCAAAGGGAGCGGCGGGGCAACTTCAATGATCGAACGTGACATTTTAGCCCCACACAACACAGAACTCAGAAGGCCCAGAACACTTGGCTCAAAACTCAAAAAGCCTTGCGCATGACGGAGCTGCCAAAAAGGGGCAAAAGGGAAAAGCGGGCCAACAACCGGCTTGAGTGAGTTTTTCCCGCCTCGAGTCTGTTTTTTCTCACAGTCAATTGCATTGTTTTTGCCCAGCCGTTAATTGTGGGTGTTGTTCTTGTTTCGGTGATGTAACCACTAGACGAACAATTTGCAAATCTAACATGGCTGGAAATGCATGTCAGAAGTGTCTATCAAGCGGGAAAAATTTATATTAAAATAGAACAATTTTGAAAAACCTCTGAAAAGTAATATCTAAGAAGAAGACATTTCATGTCATCAGAAAACATTGGATAATGTTGAAATATGCAACACAGTTACATATATGTATGTGTGAATAAAGAAATAACTTTTGAAAAGTATATTTAAGAAAAAGCCATTCATAATCTACTACTTTGTTTACCAGCAAACAATATAATTTATTATTAAGAAATATATTATTTATAATTTTTATGTTTAACAACTTTCATAAGACATATTCCCTTAACCTATTAAAATTTTAAAACTACTTCTGGTTAGGATTTGTTCCTAGCAAGACCTTAATTTCTTATTGCACAGCAGGTAAATTCCCAGCAAAATATTCATCAATGGCTAGCAATGTCTAAGGCAAAAGGACACGCCCTCTCACCTGAAATCCCGGGCTAATTACGATGCACACACCTCGGGTCACAAAGGCAACACTTGTTGTTCCCTTTTATCTTTATGACATAATCTCTGCCCAGCTGACCACAAAGTAGGGCCAGGAGTTCTATTCTCTGCCCCTCATTTCAATTTTTCCCACTAATCAACAGATTTTCCCTCAACTCAGCGGCAATTTATGGCCAAAGAGGGCCACAAGCACATGTTCCATTCGGATGCGAACAAAGCGACAGATGCAGATACACACAGATACGGATCGTTTTAGGGATCGCAGCGTATTTATTACATCACAGTCAGAGGAGCAGAAAGGCAGAGGGACAGAAGGGGTGAAGGGCAATCACAGAACTCGGCGGTAAAAACCGAAAGTGCCATGAGGTAGTAGTAGCCTATAGACCTACATAACGCAGGGTCACCGATAACAACAGGATAAAGGGCGAAGAGTGCGAGGGGCCCGGCATTGTTTCGCTTTCATTCAGACTCGGGGAGTCGGGAATCGGTACGAGATTCAGATTCAGATTCAGATCCAGATTCTGATTCGGTCGGATCCCCCGAGAAAGGAAGCCAAAGGCAGCCAGCAATAAATCAAAGACATAAAGTTGAATGCACCACAAAGGCATGGAGGCAAAGGCGGATGCAAAGTCGTCACCAGCTCGTTGGGAACCTGAAGATGCGGACGCGGAGAACCTTGAGAACCTTTAACGACCTGGTCCTACCTCAATGAGGGATCTTGAAAAACAAATCTGAATGAGGATATAAAAAAAAAAAGAAAAAACGAATTCAAGAAGGAAGCGAGACCATGTGACGTTTGTTTTGAGAAACGTCAGCTGAGGGAGCTCTTGGGAATCGGGGGTTACTTTTGTGCCGAAAAAAGGGTTCTTCGACCATCGGGCATCATTTGGGGGACAGGGAAAAAATGGCATAATTTGCTTAAGGAAACTTTTCCAATTTATAAATGACAAACACAAAAAGCGACCGAAAAGCGCCCAAGTATAATGAGGAAAACTTGGAAGTGGATGGCATTTTTCGACCCCAACTTCTCGAAAAGACATTTTCTCGTTTCTAATTAAAGTGCCTGGAGATTTGCATAAAAGGAGTCCGGCGCAAAAAGGAGCAAACGTTTAAGCATTAATCAAAAAATCAGCTGAAAATTAAAAACGAAGCCCAGGAACAAAGTGAAAGGGGCGGGGGAAAAAAGAAAAGTGGTAGCACAAAGCAAAAGGTACGAGAGCAAAGGAAAAGGATAAAAATGTGCTGATGAAGCGACGGTTGAAAGTCCGAGGAAAAAAGAGCAGAAAAAAAAAGAAAGGATTGTCTGGCGCTGTTGGATTTTTACGGTGAAGAGGGGTGAGAACAGTGGGTGGTGGGACTTAAAGTTGGTTAAGAAAGATTTAAAATAAGGCCATAAGCATATTTCCCACTAATGGCTTAAGTTTTAATCCGAAAAAAAGGATTATTTAAACGAAGTCTGGCACATAATGATTTGTTTTTGCCAACTAAGTTATTCAGGATAAGCTAAAATAATTAATAATATGTTTTAGGCTACCGCAAATTCCCAGTTCTGCAATAGGAAAACTTTGAAATTCTCCGCTTTAGGATACTGCATTTTTTGTAGACATTTTCTGCAAGACCAACTACAAACCTTCTCAAGTTTTGGAAAGTTTAAATTAATTTTTTTTCGCCTCTGCGTCCTGAGATTTTTAATTTGGGTCACCTTTTGCCACATGTATACCCATATGCATTGACTGCAAAAGATGCAGATACAGATACATGTGATGCAGAAACGCCCAGACACGTGTAAGCTTATTTTACCCCCTCGAGAACCGCCTTTATAAATATATGAAAACACATTTCACTTGCTATTATTTGGGTTGGTTTCTGTTGCAGCCACTGTCGTTGTTGTTGTTGTTGTTTATGTGCGAAAGTATTTCTTCTCTTCTTATTTTCGGCTGTTTTTAATGATGAGACTGGGAGTGGGTTTTTCGGTTCCCGTCAGTCCAGTTCTGAATCAACAGCGATGAAGCTGCCAATCTGCACTTCAGTGCGCTCCACATCCCCGCCCCTTTTTTCTACCCAAGTTAACCGCAGGTACACGGTGAGAAAATTATATTAAGAGGGGATTTTATTTCCAAGAAAAATGATATAAAAATTATTAAGTAGAAACATGGTATTTTAAACGGAGAAAAAATTAATTTAAAATTATTTGGTAACGTTTATTTATAAATATTATATAAAGTATTTCCTAAAATTATAAATATTCAAAATATTGTTACAAATGTGGAAAAAATTGATGAAAATAAGCTATAACTGTTTATAACTGTTTAATCTTTACATAAACAGTTTCAAAATTTAAAAAAAATTTTTAATTAAAAGGAAGGCAAAAGTAACGTTTTTAAGTTAACAAAATGTATTATTTCAATCATACATTTATATTTGTAATATTTCAGATCTTAAAATGTTATATCGAAATGTTTTGATGTGAACTTTCTTGAGAACAAAAAATCAGGGATTTCATATTTTTTCACGGTGCAAATCACACTGACAATAACTGAGAAAGAGAAGGATGCTGAATGATGGGGCCGCGGATGCGAAATTCCCGCAGTGGGTCGGCGGTTGTTTAAGTGGTCCTTGATAAGCGGCTGCCAGCTTAAAACCGTAATGCGCTTTACCAACTTCAGTTCACTTCAGCCTGCTCAGTACGGAATACGTATATTTTCGTGTGCGGCGATACATGCGAATGCACATACGTATATATTAAATAAACTCTTCGAGCTGCTGATGAAATATCAATATTGAAGCAGTGGCAGAGGAAATTTTAATTCGATAGTCGTGAGAGACAAGCCGGCAAAATAAAAAAAAAATACAGGAAAAAAAAAGGGAAGAGGCATAAAGAGAGATTGCATTCGCTGTTGTTCAGTTAGTGGAAGCGTTAAAAATGCCACTGATTTCGCCGATTTTTGTTGCTGTCTTTTCATTATTTATTTAATGGCGTACAGGTGCAGATTCAACTCGATTGGACTGTTTTCCCATTAAGGAATGAAGTGGAATGCGGGGGTATTGATATATATATGCACGCGCTTCAAAATAACTCTTTTGCATACACATGTGTAAATTGATATTTGTAAATGGCAAATAATGTTTATTGTAATGGGAA